CTTTTTTTTGAAATTTTTTAAGACCACCGGAATCTAGGAAGTTGCCCAGAATCGGCCGGAATTGGACCGGGCTCCGGCCACGTGAAAGCCGGTCACACCTTCTCTGCTTTAATCCGTTTTGACCCGGTTTCTTATCCGGGTCTGTCACTCGGGTCGTATGACCCGAATCTTCTTGTGGGCCTCTTGTCTTATTTCATTTTATTTTAAGTTTGGGCCCGGCTCGATTCCATATTGAGTTTTCAAAAAAAAACAGAGCATAGAAGAGGAATAAATTGAAATGGGCCAAACTCATCTTAAGCCCACCAGGCCCAAATGTTAAAGTTCTAATAATGGACGAACTTAGACCTCATAAGTTATTTTGTTTTAATTACTTTAATTAATTTAAACTAACATTAATTTAGATTAGTTTGAATTGATCCAAAATTAATCAAGGCTTGAACTAATTAAGATAACTAATTAACATTATTAAATTCTAATTAATTAAAATACATTTTAAGGCTAATTATCTTAGGGTTTTTATTTATTGCACCATTAATTTGTATAAAAAATTATAAGAGTAAATTTTATTTTTAACACCAATGCCATAGATTTTAAGGTTATTAGCCCCCACCTAAAAATTTAAAGGCATTAGCCCCTCAACAATACAATTTAAGGAAATTTCTTTTTATTGAATGGTTTTGAAGTGTATGCCATTAGTTAGACGTTATTTTTATCCTAGTCAGTGACACATAATATCTCTATCCTACATGGCATGCCGTTGTGACAATCAATAGAAAATTCTTTCTCAATTTGATATAGCCCCACTCTATCATACTAAAGAGAAAAGAAAATAGAAAAAAAAGATAGAGAGAATTAAGGTCCTGCCATGGTTGCATACTAAGTAGGATAGAGATGCTAATGTGTCTTTAACTAAGATAAACACAACGTCAAATAAAAGGTGTGTAGCTCAAATCTAGGGGTGTTCATATTCGATCCAATCCGATTGATTCGACCTAAACTGATCCGATCCAATCAAAAATCGATCCAAACCGATATAAAATTGAGTTGGTTTGAATTTTAAAATTTTAAAACCGATATAATTGGTTTAGTTCGTAGTTTTACCTTCAAACCGCTCGAACTGCTCGATTACAAAATAAAATCCAATTAGAAGATAATTTAAGTAAATAATATAACATATTTTTTGTAGTATTTTAATTTTTTTTTCTTATTTTACAAGATTATAACTCCATTAACTTAATTAAAAAAATAAGAATAGAACATTTCCATATTCCCTAAGTTATTTCTCCATTTTAATCATACACGCTAACTTTAATTCTAAATTTTTAATTCACCTGCAACTCTATCCTCTCAAAACTGGTTTATGCCTTTACTTTTAGAACCCTAAATTTTTAATTTATTCTTAAAATAATCTTATGATTTTCCTAACTAAGTTTTAAATAAGTATTATTCTAAAAGCTTTAAAACCATATAATAAAATTAGTTTTAATATTCAACTATTCTTAGATATTTGGTTTAGAAGTTTTAAATTTTGATTTTGAATGCTTCTCATCAATTTTAGTAATATTCATGTTAAATATTATTCACTTTTAACAGGATTTAGAAAATGTGATTAAATTATTAGTGTATTAAGAAAAAAAATTAATTTTAAACTTCAAGATTATTTACGCTGTGCTAGAAATTTGAAATTATTTTTTATTGTTTTTGGTACCTCTAGTGATATAACGAAAAAGAATTTTCAGAGCTTTTCAATTTTTACAAATGTAGAGGAGTATAAGAATTCGTTTATAATTTTTATCTTTTATTATATTTTTATTGATTTGAATGTTAATGTATTTTATAGTTATACTTTCTATTTGATATTAAAATATTTTTACATTATCTTATATATTTA